GAGAGAGAGAGAGAGAGAGAGAGAGAGAGAGAGAGAGAGAGAGAGAGAGAGAGAGAGAGAAACAGAAAGACCTGTCTCTTATACACATCTAGATGTGTATAAGAGCCAGCCCACACACACACAAAAAAAAAAAAAAAAAAAAAAAAAAAAGGATCTCAAATGTTTTTTTTTTCCCGCCCTTTTCCCTTTCCCCTAACCCCCCCCCCCCCCCCCCCCCCCCCCCCCCCCACCCACCCACCAAAAACAAAAAAAAAAAAAAAAAAAAAAAAAAAAAAGGATCTCAAATGTAACTTTTCTCTGGCTTCTCTCTCTTCCTCTTAGCTGTGCCATCCCCCGTCTCCCACACTCAGCAGTCACTGGTCCACGCCTCTCAACCGGAGAGAGTGTGGCATGCAGGGGAACACATAGGTTGACAGAGGCTGCTGTCCCCTGAGGGAATTACTCAGTGCCATGTGATAACCTCTACCATATTTCCTCAAATCGTACGGTCATTGTCGCTGCATCTGGACTTACAGTTGGCACACATACAGCGATAAAGACTGTGTGTTCTATCCGGGGGAAAACGCTAGTGATTCACGCCACACCCGCTGATGACGCCTCAGCATACGACAGCTCAGCACCGGGGATCACCTGCTGGATCTCTCCCGGTCCTCTCCTATGGCAACTGCGAGAAGTTGCTGTGCGAACAAAGGATGATGGGGTCGTTTTTGTGACTGGGTTACCAGCACTGAAAACCGAGAGAAGTGACAAAAAACATTTGAGAACTTGGAAGAGAAAGCTGAGAACTCATGAAAGCACCCATGGCCATATATCGCCAGAAAAAGCACCGACTGTTACTCACTCGGTGTTAACCTGACCTGACTGTAACTTACTGTTAAACTGGTGGTGTTAACCTGAGCGCTACTTGGTGTTAGCCTCCTGAGTGTTAACCTGAATGGTACACACCAAAATGTATTTACTTGAGATGAAGCTGTGTGTTAGTGTTAAACTCGGTGTTAACCTGGGTGTTAATTGGTGTTAACCTAGGTCTTAACCGGGTGTTAACCTGGTTGCTGACCTGGTTGTTAACCTGAGTGTTATCTGGTACACACCAAAATGCATTTACTTCGTGTTAACCTGATTGTTACTTGGCGTTGACCTGGGTAAAAATGCAGGTATTAACCTGAGTGTCACATGGTGTCAACATGGGCGTTAAACTCGGTATTAACCTGGGTGTTAACCTGGGTGCTAACCGGGGTGTTAACCTGGGTGTTAACCTGGGTGCTAACCTGAGTGTTAACCTGAGTGTTATCTGGTGCACACCAAAATGTATTTACTTGGTGTTAACCTGAGTGTTACTTGGCGTTAACCTGGGTTAAAATGTGGGTATTAACGTGAGTGTTACATGGTGTTGACCTGAATGGTATACCACCAAAATGTATTGTCAGTACATGCATTCCCGATTCCAACCTGCAGAAGCATAGCAGCCTCCGCCGCCGCCCATCGGCACGTTCTAGACTGACCTATCCCCTCCAGCCGCACGTGTTCTTTAACCCAACTGGTCAGTCCAGATTGAAGATTCTCAACCAGTTTCGTCCTGCCAAGAGATGGGAATCCCTAACGGGAAGTGGAAAAGAGAAACGTTTGAAAACCTTAAAAGTTAAAAGCACCTTCCTACTCAATTTGAGTTTTCGACCTAGGTAACGAAGGCAAAATATTATCTACCACGTGGGTGCGGGGAACGCAGCCCTAAGGTAGCCAAGGCAATGAGACTAAGAGCACACATACAAAAGAGAG